GGAAGGTGAGCATCATGGAATGCCAAGTTATTAGAACAAAATGTACTTGCATTGAGGGAGTATTTGAGTAGAGGCCCAATGTCTGTCTGCACCCTCGATATCTAACATATAAATATATATACATAGATCTATTTCCCTGTCATTATATATAAATATATTTATGTGTGTACATGCCTGTACTTAGACCTCTATAAATGCCTTTTGCCTCCTAGCTCTTTCCTCTTGTCCCACTATCGTTTGGACTTCATTCAGGTTTCAGTAGTTCCTCTCAGTTACATTGCCTTTGATCAAGCCCTGTCAGGTATCCTACACCCTCCTTGCAATCGATTTTAGATCACTCGTTGATCCCTTGTCTCTGGCTCTGTTAATACCCACTTCCTTTCCCCACCTCCCTTTTCCCATGTCCCCTGGAACCATTGGTCCCATTGTTTTCTCCTCTGGATTGTTTATTCTGTCTATCTTATTTAGATAGACATGCAGAGACAATAATAAGCACAAAACAAGCCTTTCGATTCCCTCAATCTATGCGTGGCTGGCCTCCTGCTCCTTACAGCTGAGCTTTCCGCAGCTTCAGCACCACTTGTTTTTTTGTCAAGACTGTTGATGTGAGCCACCACTTTGTCTTCAATGGTCTCCAGATCTAGCAGAGACGGCATGCGCATTCAACTCAGAAACAGAGAGGGAGGGCTCCTCCAACACCTCACAAAGCAGAGGGAGCATGCGCAGGTGGCTATCTTACAGAGCAGGCAACAGGAAAGACAGCGGTGTGTTTCTGGATCAGCCTCGCACGGCACACAGGTGCTTGCTGTGGTTGTTAGGTGCCGTTGAGAAGACAGACTTATGAAGACCTCACGGGGTCTTTTAGATTGTCGTCTTCATGAGAGCAGATCATCAGATCTTTTTCCCGCAGGGTGCTGGGTGGGCTCCCACCACCCACTTTTCAGTTAGTATCTAAGCACTCAACCATGGCAACGTCCGGTTTACACGGCCACAAAGTATATTTTCAGGTAAAAATGAGATTTCCCCATACACAATAATCACCTCTAGCGTTTTCACTTCTCTGCCTACACCATGATGTGGACTCCTCGCCTCCAGATCAGTCAGAAAATAAATTTCTGTCCTTTCAAGCCCAGGGACATCACTAGGGGTAGTATCACCCAGTATGGTAACTCATGGTATCAGCACCCATTGCCACCCATCACCCCACCAATCTCCTCCCACTTCAGACCATACAAAAACCTCAGTAATGTTTGCTATCAATTTTTATCACAGACTAATATGTGATAAAGATCCTTGCAACATGCTTAAATGTCCTATTTCTTACATTTGGTGTGTTTGACCTGCCAACCTTGGGGTGAACGGTCCCATTGCTTAACCCAGTGCACCAGGGTTTCTCAATAGCTCTTCAGTTCTAACAACAGTTGTTTTGTAAAATATTTCCACATTGGACCCCAACATTCTGACTGTGACATTATATTTACTAAGCAGAAGGCCCAACAAGTTTTTCATCCTTTTTTCAAATTACTACTTTGTTCTCAAAACATTCATTGATAAAGGTTGACCAACACTACTTACCACAATATTATAGCAAGAACACCAGAAGACGTGACAAAATCAGGGACTATAAAAACACCAGCAACAATGACAGCAATAGTGTGTGCTTGTAGGGTGTGCAGATGACACCACGTGATGTGAAATGCCATGGTAATTGTGTAATGAAAGCTTTGACTGAAGTGCATTAAAAGGTTCAGAAAGTCAATTAGCATAGTTTGAGTTTTGTGGGCATAGTGCTAGGCGTACTATTGGTTTATGACAAATGTTTTTCATAACTACAGGGATGTTTTTAAAACAAGAAACTAATTTCTACGGGACACTGCATAAAAATTTATACACAGCCATTTTGGTATCATCCCCTCTGACGGAGTCCTCTGGTTCAGTCCGCAGCCCCTAGCGACAGGTCTCTTAAAGTCATATACTTGTGATATTTATGTTATACGCCCTTGTATACTAGGGGTGTATTTCAGATCTTGCTGAACTGGCTCCCCATCCCACCTCCTCTTGGAGTAGGAACCAAGAATAGCCATTTTCTGTGTCTCTGTTTGTTTGTTCCCAGGGGACCTACACTAGGGGTATAGATCCTAATTATGCCAACAAGCTTTTGATCCCAGTTCCTAACATAACAGATGATGAGAAGCCTGTGCGTGTGAAAAACCAGAAATGGAAACTGAGAACAAAGGTAGGTTCCAGTAGCATATGGGCAGGTGGCTGGTGAGGGTTATATTCTCATTGGCCATTGAAGGCCAAGTGCAGACTCCGCTCTTTCATACGAATACAGGGTCATGAAAGGCAGCATTCCCCAAGGAAGAACAGAGTTCTCTGCTCTTACAGATAAGCTGTGTGGCCTCAAAGTTACTTCCTCCCCTCCAGCCTCAGTTTCCTTAGTTAATTTTGGTGTTCTCTCAGGGTTCTTCCTAACTTTAAATCCCAAGGCCATATTCTATAAGGATGAGTAAAAAATATATATATTGCTACTAGGGTTCCAATTCATACATGCCTGAGCCTGTTTCAAATAAAAAACCATGCTCAAGCATGCCTTTGCTATCAGTGGCTGGTTGCAGACAAGTTCTCTAAGTAAAGCACTGCTTTAGTCTTGTCAAAGGGCCTTCAAAAAAAAGCTTATTTAGAAGTTAGGGCTAGTAGCAAAATTGTTAAAATATTTTAAGTGGACACCTTCCTAAGTTACTGACACTTTGCAACAATGTATGGGAGCCATCTAAAGCACGTCTGTAGATGGCTCAAACATTTTAAGGAAGGTTGGAAAGACCTTGAAGACGAATTCCAGGTAGGGAGGTCCGTTCAGCGGGTTATGGCACCTTTTGAGATTCCAAAGGGGGCCATGATGATCGTTTTTTTCAAAGGACATAGGACAGTCATGGGTGTTATGATGAAGTTTTAAGGAAATGGAACCATGCATTGGTGAGTCAAAGGCCAGGAAAGTTACATCAAGGAGTCCCCCTCCTCCCTGCCATCATGACAAAGTACCCGCTCATTCTTCAAAGCTTGCAAGGGCTGTCCTACAAGAATTTTCGTGGGAAACCATATCCTATCCACCCCTTCAGACTTCTTTTTTTGTTCTCCAACTCAAAGAACATTGAGAAGACTCACAGTTTGAATCCCCGGGGATGCCCAAACTGCCCGTTTGAAGTGGTGTAAATCAAAGGCCCCAGAAATCTTCAAGGAAAAGTGAGAGAGACGGAGGCTTCCGAAGTGTGTCGACCTAAGTGGAAGAAATGTCGAGAAATAACAGCTTTCTATTTTGATCTTTTCGTTTAAAAGGTTCCTATGTATTGGTACCCACACTTTTTGACTGGCTCTTGGTGGGGCAAGTGCTCTACTTTGTGTGTCAATCTTAAAGACTAATTAAGATGGCAAACTTTGAAAACTCTGAGGAGCCGATGCCTAATGTGTGTAGCAATGATGTTACTTACGGTCTGACTTCTCATGAGTATCCTTTCAGGTACCAGTAATGTAAGTGCAAAATGCCAGAGAAAATGCCAAAGGCACTAGTGTCTTTATTTTGTGGGCATGCCCTTTGTGAACTGGTTTGGGAGATGTTGTGCCAGGAGAGACATTTGGAATTCAGGATTGCATGCTTGTGGGATTTGGGGGGACCCAAGAGCAAGTGGCAAGAGTTCTGTTACCTTGATTGCAACTAGTGTAATGAAGCAAAATGTATAAAACGTGTTAAATCGACATCTGATTTTGCTCTGTAAACGTTGGCAAAATTATAAATGAAAGAGAGAAAAGGAGAGGAGGAGGGAAGGAGTTCATGGAGTCAGAGCATGTATATAATACAAAGAGGTTATAGAAAACCCTGCACTCTTTTCTCAACCTTTGCTAACTCATTAACCGCTTTAGCTTATGCTTCTTAGCCTGTTACCACCTAGCAGCGCCCGCAGCCTGAAGAACAAGAATCCAGACCTTTGTGCCTGGGCCTGGGAAAACTACGACGACGTGCATCTGGGCCCCTGGATAAAGCTGGAGCCACAGGTTCACGCCAAGTATTTTGTTGGTAGACGGACTACAGCCTGTGGACTGCGTACCAGAACCAAGAGACTCAGATGGTCAACATGGAGGAGAGAAACGTGTTCTGTGGAACCTACAACATCCGTATTCTCTCTGACACGTAGGTACTAGGGTCAGGGCCTAGGTCTTCAGAACCTTTGAATTATTTTAGTATTGATATCTTAGGATTCCCCTGATTTTTGTTTAATTCGAAGGGCAATCCCTTCTTCAAGTTTTACCTGGAAAAAAAAAAGAAGGTTTTACCTGAAACTTGTATGGGATCTCATTTAGGGAATAGGTGTTTCATTTTGCACCATTCATAGCAGTGGATGGAGTACAATTCTCCCTTATAGTTTGGGATATGCTGGCTAATAATCTGTATCACAATTCACACGTGTGTGATATTTCTTTATTTTGATATTCTTTTAATTTTATTATAATTTTAGGAGTAGCATGACTATTAGAAGAGAAATCCTCCAAATTCTAGGGAAAAAGCAGAGATCTCCTGTACCCTATTCATTTTGAGATAGTATTGATAATATGCGTGAACATATTTTTAGAATGTTTTTATTTGAATCTATCAACATATATTTCCAAATAGACATGGGGTTATTATATATATGCATATATATTTGTTACCCATTCCAGCAAAATATTGTACGTAGCTTTCCCTGATAATTATGACAATGATGTTTCTAATAATTACACAATATGACATGATTTGGATATGCCATACTTTAGGCATAGGACCTGACTTTTTAGTCACAGGTCATTGGAAATTCCATCTCTACTTTTTACCCTGAATCTTACTACAAAGTTGCATCTTGAAAATAGAGCAATAGAGGGAAAATAAAGCAGATAGAGCAGAGGGCATGGTAGATTTTTATGGATAGTAAAGCAGTTAGGGTTCTTTGAAGCAAGAATGACTAATTAAACTCTAGTTGGATATGTGAGACAAGGACAAAAATGTCAAGAATCTCTCCTCATCTGTGACAACAGATTTCTGGTTATGTGGAATAATCACATTTTATATTTCTCAGGTTATTCACAAGAGTATCTCTTTTCCTCAAAAATGTCACAGTTTGGATGATACATTATTTGGCAGCCCTGGTCATGTTTTACCTATTTGATAGTAAGCCTGTAATTAAAAAATGACACCAACCGACCATGGTTATTGAATCATAAACTTAGCTTCTTAAGGGCAAGTCCATATCTTATTAATTTTGGTATTTTCCATAGTATCTACTAACAGAGGTCTTTGAACATAATACATGCTCACTGAAGATTGGTTACGAAGAAAAAAAATCCGTGGGACATGCAGCGAATAGAAGGGTTTTCACTGAGATCCCCTGGGGTGGTCCTTGATAAAAGGTCTGTGAGCAAATGCGTGGGAAGCGCCATCTGGTCTAGGAGTCGGACTCGACTCCCTGGCTCACAACAACGATCTCTGTGGGAGACTTTGCACCTAGTAGCAGAAGTTCTGTGTGAAATGAACATAGTCAAGTGGGTTTAACTTCGGATTTATAAACATGTTAAATGATGCCGTTTCTTTCTAAGAACATCGATGAATAATTCATAGGGCATGTGAAGTCAAGCACAGTTTTGGTAAATGTAAGTAACATTTACATTTTGGTAAATGGAAATAACATTCACATTGAAGGATAAGGTAACATTCAGACATGGCCAAGAGAGACGATTATTAGAGTCCTCGGGAGTTATCTGGGCACATCCCGAGCATATTCCTCCCCTAGCGAGTGTAGTTCAACCCTTCTCAGCAAATGTGCATTGAGGGCAAGTCATTGGATGTGTGTTAGCTGCGCACTCAAAAACTCCAAACTCACTGCAGTCAAGTCAATTCCGACTCGCGGCGACCCTATGTATTGACCGTATACCACCCTATGATTAAAATGACAGAGATCTTTCCCTTGAAAGGCTCATGAGAGGCTATGAAAAGTAGACTTTCTAAATCCACAAATATTTTATACTTAAGAGCTGTGATCTAGGTGTTATGTAAAGTGTGATGGGAACACAAATAGCATTTACTTTGGTTTAGAATGGAGTCAGGGCTAAAAAGGCTATGGAGAAGCGGTACTTTGTTTGATTTCGGTCACAGTGATGGTGGCATCTAGATTGTCCAGGAATTATCAGTTAAGAACCCGCCCCATTTCTTCTTGGTTGGACGCTAAGACACCTCTCTGGTTCATAAGCCTAATCTATGCCTTGTGAATATCATTGACGTAAATGACCAAAGTAAACCCTCAGGTGGTGACAAAAAGTTGAAATGGTAAAACTGAAATTAAAAAACAAACTGCCAAACTGAAATGAGCCCACGGCCAATTAAACATTCAGGAAAACCATCTAATTTATATCCAGATCATGAATATGGGCTACTGGGGCCTGATAGAGAAGTCTACTGCAGGCGTCTTTGCAAATATCCACCAAGGCCTTTGCTTTTTGCTACCCCCCTTGTTGGGAAGCCCCAAACTTTCCATCACACCACTGCTGCAGGAGAAAGCCAGGGTGCTGAGTCACATTTAGGAAGGACACTTATTCTTCTTTCTTGGCTAATCCCGTTTCCTGGCAATGCAGGTGGGACAGGAACAGGATCATCCACTATGCTGGAGGAGAGTTTGTCGCTGTGTCGTCCAATCGGAAGATTCACCTGCTAAACATTGCACAAGTAAAGCAGAGCCCCATCCAGTTTCGGGGACATGCTGGGAGCATCCGGTCCCTCTTCTTGTGTGAAGAGGAACATTTTCTCCTCAGTGGGAGTTATGACTTGAGCATCAGGTGAGGAGCCAAGGAGATGACCCTCATCCCCCCAGTTTGTAGGAGAGCATGCATGCATGTCCGTTTTCTATGGATGGCAGAATTATCCTATATGATACTTATTTCTAGAATAGGCCCTCTGATCAATTTTTGTGTGCAAAAACTAATGATTTGTATATTGTTTGAGGTTGAGATAGAGTTATTACCACGATCAGATATCATTTCTCTTTGAAGATGACTGACATTATACCTTTGAACAAGCCTCATACACATGAGCACCACAAGATACATCCAGTGATGCAGAAAATACCTCTTTTTTAACATTCTTGAGTGAAGAAACAATTTATGATATTTTATAGATTGCTTTAGGGGAAATTGATTTTTTTTAATATATTTTTTCTGGTGGCTATGAATTATAGATACAAAATAGTGCTTAAAATGTATTTGTGTATGTTTTCAAGAAAATCTAATAAATATTCAAATACTTATGACTCAGGCCTAGAAATGGCACATGACCATACTCCATAGCTCCCTACGTGCCCTTATTTTATTTTATTTTATTTTTTTAATCGTTTTACTAGGGGCTCACACAACTCTTATCACAATCCATACATACATCAATTGTGTAAAGCCCTCTTCTTTTATTGCTTCTTTCTCCCTAACCACCAGAGGCAAAGTTATATTAAACTTTATAGTAATTACCACTTACGATTATTTATAGTTTTTACTACCTGTTTATTTTTCTCTGAATACATTGATTACTTTTGCCTGTTTTAAACTGAAGGTAAATGGAATTGTATTTTCAAAATGAATCCATGCCTTGATTCTCATACTTACCCGTTTCTGGGGCCATCAAGCCATGAGCAATCTTGGTGTTTCAGAGACTTTCAATCTTTCTGGGAGGAGACAGCTCCATCCTTCCCCCTTGGGTAGGTTTGAATCGCTGACCTTGGGGGTAGCAAAGCAACGGGTAGCCCACTACGTTTCCAGAACCCCTTTGAGATGTTGTTGCTCTTGCTCAGTGCCCTCAAGCCAGTTCTGACTCATAAGGACTCTCCGTACAACGGAGTCAGACTGCGCAGTCCTGCACCATCCACACCAATTGTTCTGTTTGCGCCCATCGTCACAGTCGCGGGGTCAATCCATGTTCTTCGGGGTCCTCTTCCTTTTCACTGCCCCCCTACTTTACCAAGAGGGATGCCCTTTTCCGGCAACTGCTCTCTCCTGATACATGTCCGAAGACTCTCCGTCCTTTCTGCTGCGCGTTCTGGCTACACTCCTCCCAAGACTTCCATGCAATTGTAGTATTTTTTTAGAAGAATATATCATAACTAATTTATTTTCTGTTTTATCTCTAACTACTCTATTTCTAGCCTAATCTTTTATACATGTATTGTTTTGGTGTATTTTTGGCCACTATTCACATACATGGCCTTAAATATCTCTTTTGCACCCATGTTTAAGATAACCATCCTTTTTTTTTATTGGGGGCTCATATAGCTCATCATAATCCATACATACATTAATTGTGTAAAGCACATTTGTACATCTGTTGCCCTCATCATTCTCAGAACATTTGCTCTCCACTTAAGCCCTTGGCATCAGCTCCTCATTTTTTCCCCTACCATCCATCTTCTTATGTGACTGAATAAAATGAAGTCTGGTTTGAGAGAGCCATGCAATGAAAACTCAGACTTGGTTGATTGATTTTTAATTCATCTCAGAGTTATGAGACAAGTTTAAGGCTTCGTCTATATTTAAGATTGTAAATTCCAGTTCCTAATCTCTTGGGACAGGGGACTGAAAAAAAAAAACTCCCTATGACAAGCTGCACCAATATCCTTGACAAATATCTTTTACCTGTTTCTAGCACAAGTTAAAAATCCTAAGCTTGGCTCATTTTATGTGATAAGCAGGTGAACGTTTATAAATCATAGAATTGTTTTTTAGGAGAAAGAGAAAGGAAACTTTCAGGTCTAGTGTTGCAACTTCATTTAAAAATTGGGCTTCGGGGAGGGAGGGAAAAAAAAAATGGGCTTCGATTTTAGTTCTAGAGCAGTCACTTAATTGTGCCAAATGCCAAAGCTTTGAGGTTTTGCTTACACGATATCCTTTATCAAGGTCACTAATGTCTCATTATTGATTTGCAGTATCATCTAGATGGTATATGCAGTATAATCTAGATATTTGCAGTATAAACTCAAGATATTAATCTCTTGTCAGTTTTTGCATTGCCAATATAATCTATTAACCTGGTGAAGAATATTGAAAGTACCATGGATTTCCAGAAGAATAAATTAATCTGTCCTGGAGGAAATAGAGCCAGAATGCTCCTTAGAACGGAGGTTGATGAGACTTTGTCTCACTTGTTTTGGACGTGTTATCTGCTTGGCAAAGTGGAAGGGCAGCGCGTGTTTGAGGCAGAGGAAGAGCTTCAAGGCGATGGAGTGGCACAGTGGGCTCAAACATAACCATTGAGAGGGTGGCAGTGGCACAGGGCCCGCCAGGGCTTCATTCTGTTGTACGTAAGGTTATCATGATGGACGGCCCCTAGCACCACCACCACCATGGATAAAGACAGTTCACTCACAAATCACTGAGCCAAGGTGGCAGAACACCTAGAAGATGTTATGGGGGAAACCACTTAATTTAAGCATCAATAAACAGGTAAAACAGAAACCTTACCCAACACTGCATACACATTTAGACTGCAAATAGATTTTTACAATGGGAATGTGGAGACATGCCATGGAAATGTGATGTTGAGAAATTGACGAGGAGCTTTACGACCTGCAGTGGGGAAGGATCACAGACATGAGTGGAAACAGTTGATAAACCGAACAGTTTTATTACAATATGCTGAGTTTTGTTCAAGGTGACAGACCGATTAAAGAATAGATGATATTTGCAATGCAAAAAATAAGTAAATAGAAAGGTCGACGGTTCAAACACACCAGCAGCGCCTCAGGAAAAAGATGAGGTTGATTGCTCATGGAGAGCAACTGTGGAAACCTCTATCAGATTACTGTAAGTTGGAATAGACTTCATGACAGTAGGTTTTTTTGGTTTTATTTGTTTGTTTACTAACTTTCCTAAATGTGTGGGTCAAGTTAGTTAAAAAAAAGTCTGGATTACAACTCAATGAGAAGAAAACAAAAATCCTCACAAGTAGACCAGTACGTATCATCATGATAAGTGGAGAAAAGACTGAAGTTGTTAAGGATTTCATCTTGTTTGGATGTACAATCAATTCTCATGGGAGCAACCGTCAAAAGCAAATGTCCAAACATACTGGGTAAGTCTGCTACACGAGACCTGTTTAGAGTACTGAAAAGCAAGGATATTATTTTGAGGACTAAGGTGCACCTGACCCAAGTCATGGTATTTCAATCGCCTCGTATGCATGTGAAAGTTGGACGTTGAATAACAAAGACTGAAGAAGAATCGGTGCATTTGAATGACGGACGGTGTTGGCAAAGAAGATGGAAAGTACCAGGGACTGCCAAAAGGACAAACAGATCTGTCTTGGAAGAAGTACAACCAGAACAGTCCCTGAGCGGGAAGGATGGTGAAACCTCGTCTCGCATACTTTGTACCTGTTGTCAGGGGAGACCAGTCCCTGGAGAAGAACCTCATGCTTGGGAAAGGAGAGGGGCAGTGAAAAAAGAGGAAGGACCTGCACAAGATGGATTGACACTGGGTTGCCACAATGGCCCAAAGATATGAACCACTGTGAGGATGGCGCAGAACTGACCAGTGTTTCTGTCTGTTGTACATCGAGTCACTATGACTTGAACGGACTCAGTGGCTCCTACAAACAATTTGACCCAGGTCTTCTACTACCATGCTGAGGTAGTTTATTGTGCCAACCTGGCCGATAAACACATGTGGGGCTAATTGAAGGGCAGAGAGCTAAATGGCTTGGTGAGCCTCCCCTTTCTAGTTTTTGGGTCTCTTGTTTTCTGATGGTCGGACCAGGGTGCAGCTGCCTTAACCAGGTCCCTGCTTCAGTTGGCAAGGCTCATGTCCTGCAAGACATCCCCAAGGAAAAGACACATGGACCTATCCTGATGCAGCCCTGGGTGCTGGAGCAGCCGTGTGGAGACCCCGGCCAGTGCTGAGATGCTTACACACTCACTGACTCGGCATCGTTGCATGTGTTTTGTGAGATGGAGGAGGACTTTGTGGATTGGTGTTGGACATATGGGTGAATGTTGGACTTGTGGGCTTGGGCAGCACTTGGGTTGGGATGTTTTCTTGATGCGCACCTAACCTTTATAAAAAACTCTCTCATACATGAATTTCTGTGGATTTGTTTCTCTAATGTACCGAGACTAACACACATGCTAAACAGTAACAGAGCGTATGGGCTTCTGTACCATGCTTTCCTTAAAAGGCATAAGTTTCTCTCTTAATCATAATGCTTCTTGTGTGAATTTTGTTAATAAATGGATACAACTAAACTCATTGCCACTCAGTCCATTTTGACTCATGCGTTTTATGAAATCATGGAAGTTCCTTCTAGTCCTAAATTTTAGAAAGTGTTTATCAAATACCTGTTTGTTTGCATTGAGAAAACCAGGTTGAACACAATCCACCATGATGCTCTCACTGCATCAAGTTGATTCCTACTCAAAGTGACTCTATATGAAATATATATATCCTACCCTACATACATGCCCACCCCATATACACCCCACCCTATATATATATATACCCCAGTCAATATATACACACCAACCTATATATATATACCCCAACACACACCTATTACATATCCCAACCTATTAGGGGTCTAACTTTCGAAAAGTTACCTAATTTCCAGATACATGCACATCACTGCCATCAAGTTGACTCCTACTCATGGTTACCCTATAGGATAGGGTAGGGCTGCTCCTCTGCGTTGCTGAGACTGGAGCTCTTTATGGGAGGAGAAAGGCTCATCTTTCTTCTTGGAGAGGCTTTGCAGTCAGCAGCCCAACGCGTAGCCCAATATGCCACCAGGGTTGGGAGTAGAAATGGGATCGGATATAATTGCAGCTGGAATAAAATTGAGACCTTTCACTTTAGGTTTTAACCATGCAGTTTCCTTTGCTGCCTTTCAATGACTTATAGATCTAAAGTGTAATAGCCTATAGTACGAGTCCTTAGGCTCTCAGGAATTCTCAAAAATAACCGTTTTGGTTTGATTCGGTTTGATTCCTGCAGATACTGGGATCTGAAAACTGGGAATTGCATACGAATCTTCAATGGCCACCAGGGTACAGTCACTTGCATGGATTTATATAAGAATAAGCTTGTCTCTGGAGCAAGAGATTGCCAAGTGAAAGGTGAGAGAGATTTGCCTTCAACTTTCTAAGTTTCCCCCGAATTCATAGATTTCCGAAATATTCATGGGCTTCCTTCATTTCTATAGGCAGTCATTTATTCTCTTATTCGTGCATCCATTAATTCATGAATCCATTCATTCGCTGTGCTAGATGTTGGAAGAAAATGACTGTGATAATAGCTCATCAGATGTGCCTTTTTTCTCACAAGCTCAGAATCTCCTAACAGAGAGTAATATACCAATATATAACCAAGAACTGTCATCTATTGAGCACTAACTTTGCATGCAACTAACATGGTGATAAGTACTCTACATACATTAACTTCTTCAAGTCTTACAAGAAATCCATGAAGTAAATGTAGAGGAGCTTATTGCTGCCTAGTTGATTCCACTCACAGTGACCCTACATGAGAGGGCAGAGCTGCCCAGGAAGGCTTCTGTGGCTAATCTTCAAGAAAGCAGATTGACACCTCTTTCTCCACTGCTGGTGGATTCAAACTGGCCACTTTGGGCCTAGTGCTTAACACTTTGCCCCATCAGGGCACCTGGCTGCAGAGGAATATCTAAAATTTAGAGAGAATAGCAAACTGCCTCAGAATGAAGCCGCTGTGTAGGAGCGTTGGGAGACGAAGTGGCTGGGTAGCTCTAAGTCACATGTTCCTCATCATATTCAGGGTTCCAGGGCCCCATAGAAATGAGAGGAAGTTAGGGGAAGCTCCACAGAGGGTGCTAGCTGAGTGAATGAGGAGGCTTCCAAAAGTTTCTGGGGAAAAATCCATGATCTTTTCATTCCATTTTTCTACTAGCTTTTTGAAGGCCCCCGTATTACCTGTGTATGATTTGAGTGCCCCATGAGCATCGTTAGTGTTACAGACAAAGCAGAAGGAGAGAGGGGATAGTCGAATCAGCTGTCATGGAGCTGCCCTTCGCATTAGCTACTGAGCGCATTTCCTTAACCCCGTGCCCCACTCAGGGACTCTGGGAATATCAGAAGGAAGCGCTTGATGCACTCAAAGGGGAAATCATTATCGATCAGTTTATGTGTTGAGCCTTACAATAACTCTGTTAGATACATGCTTTCATGAGCCGTAAGCACAGGAAGCAGTGCACAGAAGAGTGAAAGCAGAATGTGTTCCCCATTGTTTCGTGTGAGGGGATTGCAATGTGTGGTGTCAGCGAAAAGGCTGGTAACTTCACTTGGAACCAGATGTAAGGACCTTCCACATCGTGGTAAGAAGTTGAGCTTTATTTTGCAGGATATTAGGAGCGGTAAAGGTATTTTAAGCTGAGGATTGGCATGATAGAAAGATCATTATGAATGATCATGTGGATTTGTTGAGAAATGACTTTCTGGAGGCAACAGATTCGTTAGGATACTTGTCCACCCACAGCATCACAATGGAATCTTCAGGACATCTGAGAACACATAAATGAACAGAGTCAGATGGATACGTTTACGTTAGAGGGTCCAGACTGGAAGGAAGTATCTAGAAGGAGAATTGGGGGTTTAACCACCACTTATCTGTCAGTTTCTGTGCCAGGGTGCTTGAGTGTGGCTGTGATACTGTAAGCTATGCCAATGATGTTTCATATGCCAGCAGGGTCACTCACAGTGAACAGGTTGTAGTGACGCTTCCAGACTAGCGAGAAGCTAAAAGCTGTCCGCTTCTGAAAAAGTTAGCCCTGCCAACCCTGTGACAAGCAGCTGATCATTGTCTGACATAATTCCAGAAGGGAAGTCCCTCAGGTCGGAAGGCACTCAAAATGCAACCATGGAATAGCTCCTTCCTCAAAGTAGAGTCCACCTTAATAGCAAAGGTGGAGCAAAAAGTTGAGACCTTTATTTGCAGATGGACACGCTTCAAAATGAGAAGAAACAGCCAAAAACGCTTTAATCACTGGGCATGGAGTGTACAAAGCATGAATTTAGGAAAATTAGAAGTTGTAAAAAATCAAATGGAATACAGAAAAGACTGTCGTAGGCCTTAGTGAACTGAAGTGCCATTGTACTGGCTACTTTGACCCGTGCAGACAATCACAAGGTTTCCTATGCTGGTGATGACAAATTTAAGAGGAATAGCATCATATTCATTGTCAGAACGAACATTGAAAGACCTATTGTGAAGTATAGTACTGACAGTGATAGGAAAATATTTATAAGCCTATAAGGAACACCAGTTAATAGGACTATATTCAAATTGACACACCAACCATTAAAGCCAATGATGAAAAAAAATTAAAGAATTCTACCAACTTCTTCAGCCTGAAATTGATCAGACATGCCATCAAGATGCACTGATAATTACTGGTGATAGGAATGTGAACGTTGGAAGGAAAGAGGAAGGCTCAGTAGTTGGAAAATCTTGGGGATAACAAAACTGTAGTGATCTTTGTACATGGCAGAATTTTGCTAGCCCAATGATTTGCTCATTACAAATACCTTTTTTTCCAGCAACATCAACAGTGATATAAATGTGGATCTTGACATCTGGAATCCACAGGAATCAAAATGACTGTGTCTGTGGTCGATAGAGATGATAGAAAAGTTCAAATCATCGGCCAAAACAAGGTCAGAGGCAGACCATCTATGTCTCATAGGCAAGTTCAGGTTTAAGTGGAAGAAAATTAAAAACAAGTCCATGAGAACAAAAATATGACCCTGATTATATGCCATTTGAATTTAGATACCACCTCAAGAACAGATTTGATGCGTTAGAAAATAATGACTAAAGACCAGATGAGTTTGGGGATAACATTAAGAACATCGTTCACCAAAATAACAAAAGATCATTAAAAAAGGAAGTCCTTCCTTCCGCTTATCGGCACAAAGGTCCTTGGCTCAAGCCCTATCTATGTCCCACTGCCTCACTGCCAGGCGCGATTTCTCCGACCTAACTCGTTGGGTCTCGGAACCTGCCCAGGACCTCTAGGTGCCCCGTCCCTTTCTCTGCTCTCCCTTCCCTTCCAGAAGTTCTTTCCCTGCCTCAATAAACTCTTTCCCAACTTCAAAAAAAATCATTTAAAAAGGTAGGAAAGAAGGAAAAGACCAACATTGATGTCAGAAGAGATACTGAAACGTGCGCTTAGGCACAGAGTAGCTAAAGCGAATGGAAGAAATGATGAAATGAGAGAACTGATCAGGAAATTTAACAAGGCAGATGGAGAAGACAAAGCAAACTACTTTGATTACATGTGCAAAGACCTGAAGTTAGAGCACCAAAGGAGAAGGACATGCTTGTAATATTGAAGGATTCTATGGGTGAAATATTGACTGATGTAGGCAGTGTCAAAAGAAGATGGCAGGAATACACAGAGTCACAATACCAACGGAGTCACTAGACCAAAAAGGATTGGTTGGCATCCAACCACTTCGGGAAGAACTGACAATACTGAAAGAGGTCCAAGCTGCTGTGAAGTAATTTGGGGAAAACAAACCTTCTTGAAATGATGGAACAGTGATCAAAATGTTTTTTTAAAAATGAATGTAGCACCGGAAGCTTCCATTTGTACGTGCTGAGAAATTTAGAAGACAGCTACCTGGCAAGCTGACTGAAAGAGATTCAGAAGAGGACGTGGAAGGAGGAATATAATTACATCAGACAGAGCTTGGCAGAAAGCAGATACCAGAAAGATGTTTACTTGTGCTGTATTGGCTGCAAGTTCATTCTACTGTGTGGATCCAAACAAACTGTGGATAGCGTTAAAAAGAATGAGAATTCAGAACACCGAGTGGTGCTCATGAGTTCCCTATACGTGAAACAAGAGGCAGTCATTCCAACAGAACAAGGAGCTATGGACTGGCGTGTGTGTCAGGGCTATATCTTTTCACCATACTACTCAATCTATATGCTGGGCAAATAAAAGATGTTGTACTATGTGAAGAAGAGGGCAGCATCAGGATTGAAGGAAGACTGCAGAGAAGTGAAATTCTGTGGTATGACTTTTCCATCCATAGTCTACTCTCACCAAATAAGAACATGTAAGTAAGGTGTAGAAGCCTCTCGTGAGGGAATTGATTGGCTTTTACCATTGGTCAGTTATGCCATTCATTTGTATAAAGTGAGCTGCCTCTGAGGCAGGAAAGAGGATCCTATGCCCAGCAGAAAGGAAACCCGAGAAGAGAACATGAGTAAGACCCCTGTGTGGAGAGGCAGCCGCGGTGGGAAAGGCAGCAGCCCTGAGACCATAAGACAGGGTGGTGGGCTTCCCTGTCCACACAAGAAGTAAAGCTAAGTGCTTTCAGGCAATGGCTGGCTTGCAGAGTAGCTCATTTATCATCCCTAAAGTAGCTCGAACATTTTCCCAAGAAAAGCAGAGGCCAAGGGCCAAATACCTGAGAGGGGGAGGACCAAAGAGGGATGCAGGGATGCATCTGCCGGCATGGCTGAGAAGAGATACTGTGAACAGTTTCTGATGCTGACTTGTAGACTGCTAACTTCCCTTATGATATTGTTGTTTTGGGGTGCCTCGTTGAGTTGGTTCCAACTCTATGCCCAACAGAATGAAGCACCGTCCAAGCCTGTGCCACCCCCACAGTCATTGTTATGTTTGAGCCCGTTGCTGCAGCCACTTAGTCAATCCACCTTGTCAAGGCCTTCCTGTTTTCACAGCTCCTCTGCTTTACCAAACACGATATCCTTCTCCAGGGACTAGTCTCTCCTGATAAAATAAATGTCCAATGTATGTGAGATGAAGTTCAACCATCCTTGCCTCTAAAGAGCATTCTGGCTGTACTTCTTCCAAGACAGATCTCTTTGTTCTTTTGCCGGTCCATAGTACTTTCCATATTCTTTGCCAGCATCGTCATTCAAATGCACCAATTCTTCTTTGGTCTTTGTTATTCAAGGTCCAACTTTCACATGCGTATGAGCCAAGGGGAAATACCATGGCATTGTCCTCAAAATACCCTAGTCCTCAAAGTGACATCCTTTCTTTAAAGAGGTCTTGTGCAGTAGACTTACTCAATGCAAGGCATCATTTGATCTCTTCACTGCTGCTTCCAGGAACATTGATTGTGGACCCAAACTTCCCTAATCTGCCCACATAATTGTGAGTGTTGTTTGTGAGTTCTGTGTGACTACTGCAATGAGTTTTGGAACCCAGCAGAGAAGTAGAATATCGTGGGAGGGAAAGGTTGGTGTTAGAATAGGCAAAAGAAGGTTGGAGGGAAGGAGGCCTGTTTGACCTCCATCTAGTAGTAGGTCTTTTGGGCAGACGAGAAGTTGGTTCTTCTTTCCCCTTGTGTACTCAGAGGTGGTCCCATATGCTCCCCCACGCCATTTCCCCCAAAGACTTATTAGCAACGTGATATGCAGATGACACAATCTTACTTTCTGAAAGTGGAGAGGACTCAAAGCACTTACTGATGAAAATCAAAGATTACAATGTTCACGTTGTGTTATACCTCAGGGCACAGAAAACAAAACTCTTTACAACTGGACCAATAGACATCATAATTGTACATGGAGAACAGATTGAAGTCGCGAAGGCTTTCATTGTGCTTGGATCCACAACCAGTGTCCGTGGAAGCAGCAGTCACCAAGTCCAACATGTTGCATTAGGAAAATGTGTTGCACACGATCGTTTTAAAGAATTCAAGCACAAAGCTATCACTTGGAGGACTACATTGTGCCTGACTCATGCTATGGTATTTTTAATCGCCTCGTTTGCTTGTGGAAGCTGGCAAGTGAATAAGGAGGACCGGAGAAGAAGAGATGCACTTGAATTATGACGTTAGCCAAACATATTGAAATGACCATGGACTGACCAAAAGAACAGACAGAATGGGCCTGGAAGCAGCACAGCCAGCATATGCCTTAGAAGTAAGGACGGTGAGACGTTTCCCCAGAAAAGCGGGAGAAAAGGGTGAAAAGTATCTTAATTATTGTCCTTCGCTGCCATGGTGTTGGCCCTCCAACTCGTGGTGACCCCACTCAAAACCGAACAAAGCCTTGTCCAGGTCTGTGCCCTCTTCATGATCGACTGCAGTCTACGTGTTCCTGGTGATCCTTCGGGTTCTCATTGGCTGGTTTCCGGAAGCAGACTGCCAGACCTTTCTTCCTAGTATGTCTTAGTCCGGAAGCTCAGCTGAAAGGAGCTCAGCATCACAGCAACACAAAAGCCTCCATGGGCAGGTGGGTGGTGACTGTGCCTGAGGAGCATTGGCCGAGTGTTTAATCTGGAGGTCCTTGGTGGTACAAACAGTCGATTGGATGGCTGCTAGCCAAATGGCGAGTTGTTTAAGCCCACCCAGAGGCCCCTCAAAAGAAAGGCTTAGTTATCTGATTCCCAACTACCAGCCCTCAGAGCCCCGTGGAGCACCGTTCTGCTCTGATACACCGGGGTCACCTCGAATCATAGCTGACTGGGCGAGAGCAAGCACAGTACAGGGAAGGTGATGAATGCCACCGAATTGCACCCGGGGAAAGGCTGAATGGCACATATTAGTGTGTGTCTGTGTCTGTGTGATTACTCCCCACATCGCCGTTCTCCACCACTGATGTCTCATCGATGCAAATGCTTGGAGAAGGGGAGCATACAGGATAAGACCATCTGAGAAAGGCCTGGTGATGGGGAGACAGGCCAGGCCTTCAAATCGGCTGTGGGTCCTCCAAGAACGATGCTTAAGGCCACATTTTTTCGGAACTAGATTTAGTAGCTGTTTGGGGCTGGAATCAACGAGTTGCTCTGGAGTCCCCTCTGATTCATGGTGACTCCATGTGTAGCAGAGTAGAACTAAGCTCCAAAGAGTTTCCAGTGGTTGATTTTTTTTTTTTTTTAGAAGTAGATTTCCAGGTGTTTCTTCTGAGGAAGATCTTGAACCTGGAACCCTGCAGGTAGCAGTTTAGCCACTTGCACAACTCAGGGTCTCCGTGTAGGCTTGAGGAGGCGGCTCTGGAGAGAGCCATTCGGCACTTGGACCAAATGCTGAGTTTCCGGGTTAGAGCCAGGTCTTATGTATCGCTGACTCTGAGGGCCTGTGGACAGGCGCTCTGTGCTGCAGGTGGATGGAGCTTTTGAAGGAACCCAGCCAGGGGAAAGCGTGTTGGGTTCTGAGTTGATAGGCTCTATTAGTCTTGGCTTCTGAAATGGGGAGCACACTGAAGTGTCAGAGTCCCCATCCTCTGATCTTCCCGTCCCCGCCCCTCTCTCTTTGTCTCCTCTTCAGTGTGGGACATAGACACAGGAAAGTGCCTGAAGACATTTAAACACAAAGACCCCATCTTGGCCACCAGGATCAGTGACACCTACATTGTGAGCAGCTGTGAGCGAGGGCTGGTCAAGGTGTGGCACGTTGCCACGGTTCAGCTGGTAAAGGTGAGAGGACAGGGCTGTAGGAGATTGGTGGTCTCCCCTATGGGGCTCCCCACCCACCCTACAGTGCCTGCATTACAGTAACCGAAGGGGGAGTGGAAGAGAGCCACAGGAGGGCATTCGGGGTTGTGAAGGGTGGGCATATCACGGACACACACTGTGACCCATGAGGTCTCAGGGCTAGAAGAGGGAGGCTGCAGTCAGGGCACAATTGACATGCTTTCTTAAGGGCGGCAGAGGTAAGGTACCTATTCCTCTTCCAGAGCACTCCACACTGGTGCTGCAATGGGGCACACTCTTCTCTCCTTACTCTTGGATGGAGAGACCATTGGCTGTCTTGAAAGTGATTACATGTTCACACACACAAAATTGTCTTGTTGGATCTGAACTCCCTGGTCCTTGTGGGTGCTCCTGAGATTTCATGTGTGCCTGGAACACAGGTCTTCGTGCGGAGCTGCTGGTCTGGTGTCTGGACTTGTCACTGTGAGCTAACCAGCACGGGCAGGCGCAGGGATGCCCCAAGTGCCCTTCCAGTTTCGGAAAACGGGCTGGGGAAGAACAGCTCATCCCCCGCCCTGTTTCCAGCAGAGGACGATAATCCCTGGCTCGATCTGGTGCTTCAGGATGATGGGACCTGCCCCAGTCACAAACCCTCCAGGAGCCAGGCCTCTTCCTGATCACATTGCTCTTTAAGTGGAGAGAGAGCTCCGGTTCTGTGTGAAGGAGGCACAGACCTCTAGCACCCAGTCCTGGAGCGAAAGCGAAGCCAGCTGAGGTGTATCACAAGCGAGTGGCAGACATCGGTGGCTGGGGTGTGGATTTGAGATGCCCTTAAAGGAGCCCCCAGCACTGGCCCTTGGAGAGGGTCATGTTATGAGTGGGCTGAAACGAGTGGCATTCTTTCTTGCAGGTACTCAGTGGCCACGAAGGAGCGGTGAAGTGCCTGTTCTTTGACCAGTGGCATCTCGTCTCAGGAAGTGCCGACGGCCTGGTCATGGCCTGGAGCATGGTGGGAAAGTATGAGAGATGTCTAATGGCCTTCAAGCATCCCAAGTACGTGCTGGTGAGGCATTGGCTGCTGGCTTTAGTGCGCTCGCCTTTTGTCATCACAGCCCAGGCCGGAATCTGTAGTCCCTTCTGAGTCTGGTCCTCGCTCATTTCTGCTCCCACCTGTTACTCAATTTTTCCCCCACCACCCTCTCCCCTCAGGTCTCCTTTCCCAGCCTTAGTTGTTTTTCTTGCGAAATAATAACACATGTGGCTATTGAGAAGGTCTTGAAATTTTATCTTTATGATGCAAGCGATAAATTGATACCTCTTATCTACCAGCTTATAAACATTGATAGAGGCATCCTAAAAATGCAAATACTAGTCTATTTAAACTTCTTGGTAAAGTTGTACTCATAAAAGCTTAAATGAACCAAGTGTTAAAAGTTTTAAAATAGCTGAGGTGTTCCAAAAAAAATTGTGGGCTACAGTCTACTCCAGCATAGCAAAGGTACTTTAATCCATCCGACAACCACAATGCTATCCCTTAGCATTGTCCTCTTCTGAGTCTGGCTTGAATTCCTGGAAGTTTCCTGCGCGCGATCATTTTTGAATGATCTTCTGCTACATTTGGCTGCCATGAAATAGTACCGATATTATTTGATTATGTTTGTATTCTGTTCAGTCACCTGTCTTGGAAATCGGTATGACTGTGGATTCCTTTCATTTGGTTGACCAGGTAGCTGTCTTCCAAATTACTTGATGTAAATGAAAATGTTCTGCTTGAGACGGTCCGTCTATCCTCAGTCCTCTTGGAGGACATCCCCAATAAGCAATTCATTCTGGTTCTTGATTCCTTGTATAGTGGCAACACAACCATCGGCATCTGAAGGTTCTGGTTACACATAAGCGCTCAATAAATGTTTCGAGTGATTGGTAATGAGGACTAATTGGATAGACGGCCCTCCTTGACATTCTAATAATTGGCAGATACCCATCTCTTGGATACGACAGAGAGGAGATAACAGATACAGTTGCCGTCCTTCCTTTGGTGGAAGAAGGCTGGGGAATGGGATCTCCAGTCTGTTGTTTTGCGTCAACTGTTTTTAGCCAAAATTAAGATCTCGGATATGGTGTGGGGAAGAAATGATATAAAGAAATAAACTAGAAAAAAAATCGAAGTAGGCAAAGTAGGCTGACCGGGGTGATAACCATTGAGAAAGTGTGTGTACACCACAGTGTCTTTTTTTGAGCACACACACCAATGCTGCCTTTATTCATCAGTGTTTTTATCCTAGCTGGTGCTGTAATCAGGGTAGTGTGGGGTTGTTGCAATTTATCTAATTACATACATAAAATGTACATCTTAAAATGACCACATCAGTGCTTTTTAGGATATGCATGCCCTGATGCAGATAATTTTAGAACATCAAATTCTACATCACTGAAAAAAGAACATTTGTACCTGTTTAGTGTCACTCATATTCTTCCTCTCCCTGGCCCCTCTAGTGATCATGTATCTATTTTCTAAGCTTATTGATTGTCCTCTTCCACAGGTTTCAGATAAATGGAACCATGCAATATGTAGCCTTTTATATATGGCTTCTTTCCCACAGCATAATGTTTTCAAGATTTGCTCTCATAACCTGTATGAAAAAACCTCATTCCTTTTTATACCACTGTATGGCTATGTAGTTGTTTATCCACCCACTCATTGATGAGTATTATGTTGCACAATTTTGCCCCTTTTGAATTACCCAAAACCAAGTCCACTGCCATCAAGTTGATCTGATTCACAGTGTCCTTGTGTAGAGTTTCTGTGGCTTAGATCTTCATGGCAACATAGAGCCCTCCCTTGCCCCCCGGGAGAGGCTGGTGGGTGTGTAATAGCAGGCTGGCCTGACCCACCAGTGCCACCGGGGCTCCTCAGTAGTGCAGCTATCCACTTGGGAGGACAAGTTTTCACAGGAGCACCTGGTTTTGATTCTTTTGGATAGCAGTCGAATCCTGGAGGTGCAAAGGAATTCTGTTTCACTTGTCGAGGAATCGCCCAACTGCACAGCCGCTGTGCCGTTTTCATTCTCACCAGAAATGCAGGTCCCCACTTCCCCCCAACATCTTAACACGTGATTTCCTGTTACTCATGTTGCCCTTTTCAATGGCCATGCTAGTGAATCCGACAGCTACTATATGGACCAGTGGACTCTCCTTGTGGCTTTGATAGGAAGTCTTTCCAACCTATGAACATAGGATATTTTCCCGTTCATTGAGGTCTTAAATTTTTTCTTTCAACAATCTTTGGTGGGTTTTCGTATAAAAGCCTTGAACTTTATTGATAACCGTTATTTCTGTTTTATTCTTTTTGATGCTATGATAAATGGGATTCTTGTCTTGATTTTATTTTGATTATTCATTGCTAGTGTATAGAAATACAACTGCTTTTTGTATCTAGATCTTACATTTTGGAATGTTGTTGAACTTGTTTTATTAGCTCTAATAGTTTATTTTATTTTATTGCTGTTGATTTGTTAGGTCTCTCTCAGGGGAGAAATACCTCGGTCCCTGGCTTTGTGCGAGAAAGAATTCACGCTGAAGCCTGGTTTGTGATCCAAGTGAGTTTTATAAAGGATAGAAGCAGTTTCAGGTGTTACAGTAAACGGAGCACAAACCAGAGAGAGGGAGAATGCAGCTCTGCCATGCAGGGTCTCAACACAGTCACCCTGAACTGTGTGTGGCCGCAGGGAGAGAGCCAGAGGAAAACTTCTGGCTTTTCGGGGTCCACATTGGGAGGCATGGTCGATGATACTGTTTGACCCCACTGGCTGAATTAAGCCCACCTGGCCTGGATGGGGTCCCACCCAGGTTTACTGACTTCCTGTCTTAAAGACATGAATGTATGTATGCCCACCAGCCTTAAGCAGCTTCCAACTTCCTGTCATGGGGAGGGAGGCTTTGGTGTGTAGAGGGACAACCCTTAATTCTGCCTCTAGCTACTTAAGAGATTCTTTAGGGTTTTTGATATACAAGACAATATAAAATTTCATTTTCATGCCTTTCATTTGTTTTTCTTGCTAGTTTCCTTGGCTAAGTCCACATGTAACAGCAACAACCTACCAACCCCACTGTCATTGAGTCAATTCTGACTCATGGTGACTCATTATATGGGAGCAGATAAGCTTCATCTTTCTCTCATGGAGTGGCTGCTAGATTTGAAATGCCAACCTTGCAGTTAGCAGCCCAAAGCCTATCCCGTTACTTATCTCCTCTCTTTAATATTCTCAGATTTTACTTCACATATTTTGGGGCTCTTTTTTTGTTGGCATATTTGTGTCTATAATTGTCATAGATGGGGACATATATCAGTTAACAATTTGTCAGAAAGCGTACATATATATTTTTTGCTCTTAATGAAGTCATACAATGTCCCCTGGGTTACTATTTACATGAAGCGCACAAAATTTCTTTGTTCATTCTTTTACTTTCAACTGATTTGTGTCTTAGAGTCAAAGGTTACATCTCTTGTCAGCAACATATAGTAGGGTTTTCTTTTTTTTTTTAAATTCCTTCTTCCAATTCCTGTCTTTTAATGGGAGATGCTAATAAATGTATATTTAATGTAATTTCTAGGAAAGAAGATGTTTCTGCTGCTATTTTTCTATTTTCAATGTCTTCTCCCCGCCTCCCACCTCAGTGTCTACATCAATACCTTTGAGTGTGTGTTTGATTTTTCTAGTGCGCCATGGTGCATCTATTGTCTGTATATTTCTTTAGCTATTTTCTTAATGGCTACTGTGTCCTACAGGGTCATGATGAGTCTGTAGCAACTTCTTGGCAGTGAGTTTGGTTTTGAGTAAACATGAAGATAATCATTTTTTTCCCCAGTTGATGTTTATTGTTTATGATTTGGGTGAAAGTTTACTGAGCAACGTAATTTTCCACTCAACATTTTGTTCCCCTTGCAGTTGATTGCAAGCTCCACAATGCAACTTTAATATTTATTTCCTATCCCTTCCGGCCTTCGGAAGGAACACTGCCTCTGGGAAAATACTGACCTCGAAACTTCCCATGGTTAATTGTTCTAAGGAACGCGTACCTCCCTAATGTTTTTGTTCACTTGTCTATTGTTTGGGTGAAAGTTGAGCTTCAGGGGTGAGTTCCCTAAAGGATGACAAAGTGCTATAGTCCAGGGGCCCCAGCTGTCTCCATCTGACCAGTGAGAAGCTCGGTCTTCTTTATGACTGACAGTTTTGTTCTGCATTTTCACTCTCTCATTCAGGACCTTCTATGGTGCAGGGATCAATGGTATCTAGTTCATAGGTTCCCAGATTTATTTGGCTAACAGCCTCCTTTACGGGGAAAAAAAAATCACTTAGCATCCTCTGGACAATTAAAAACTTTTGTTCTATAGCCCATAATCCATGATAAAGTGTAGTTACCCAAATTTCTTTATACTACTTGGAGCGCTTTGAACTTTCTCTCTCTGTGTGTGTGTGATCAAATTGGGGAGTTTTCCACCATTGTTTCATCAAAAAATGTTTTTTGGGGGGTTTCCTTTTTCTCCTTTCCTTTTGGGACTCCCACTGTAAGGAATTTGGTTCACTTGGTTTAGGGGATCCCCCAGAGGCTCTGCTCAATTGTCTTCATTTTTCCCCCTTTCTGTTCCCCAATCTCAATAGACTTCTCTTCCAGTTCAATACACCTTCCTTCTACTTGAATCTTCCTGAATGAAATATTGTGACATTTTATTTCAGTTATAATACTTTGAACTTCAGGATTTCTATTTGGATCCTTTAATAGTCTCTAATTATTTATATTGATATTACCTGTTTTCTGAAATAGTGTTTTATACTTTAGTTTTTTTTTTTTCTTTTAGAATACTTTTACTTTGAGACATGATGGAAAAGATAATAGATACACATGGAAATGTTTTATACTTTAGTTTTGTGGACAAGGTTTCCATTCGCTCTTCGAAGATATTTATAATGCCCGATTTAAAGTTTTGTCTAGAAGCCCAGCCACCAGTCATCCTCAGTGACAGTTTCTATGATTCTTTTCCCCCCTGTGTATGGACCCTGCTTTCTGGTTCTTTGTGTGTCTCGTTATGCTTGTGTGCGTAACCCTGGACATTTTGAATATTATACTCTGACAACTTTGAAGGTCATATATTCCCCCAGGGTTTGGTATTGTTGCTGCTTGTCATCGTTTGGAATACTTGTTTCTTTAGTGACTTTTTTGAATGAATTCTGAAGTCCCTTTAGCTTAGAGGTAAGCTAAAGACTGGGTGTTGATGTCCTGCACCCTTGTAACTGAAATGGCTCTCTGATCTTTGCCTGGGGGAGCTGTGTGCTTGATGAGACAAGCTTTCCGTCCCCAGCCAGTCATTGTACCACTCGGCCTTGCCCTTCACTTTCTAGCCAGGGCTGAGGATTTTCTCTCTGTTTTCTCTTGAGTTATGTGCACAGCATCACACATGCACATGCTTATTGACAGTCCCAGGAATATGTCTGAACTTTTCAAAATTATATAGCTCAAACAAGACAGAACAAAAACACAATCCAGATTGACTACCATTGAGTTGATTCTGACTCAAGGTAGACACATATTAACTTGGGTAAATGGGAAGGCAGAAATAAATAGACAAACAAGCTTGTGTTGGTTGTAGATGGCATTTTACTGGTCTAAGCCTCCTCTTCCCTATAAGCTCCCCCCAAAAACAAAGAAATAAGAAACCAAAACAAATATAATTTTTGAAGACAATAAAACAAAAATGGTTTCAAAACTTTGATCTTTCAGATGAAGAAGTAAAGAGAAGTCTTTTGAGCCAGTCGACCAGAAATCTAATAGATCAAATATAATATCTCTGTGAATGAGGTCTGTTCTGTATTTTCTTTTTTGTTGTTGTTCTGTATTTTCTAGAACCATAGGTATGGACAGTCACTTTTATAGCTATCGCTGGGCTGGGGAACAAGAATTGGGAATCGGTTAAATTGTCACGAAGTTCCCTGCTATGTTATTGAGATTCAACAATTTTTATTGAAAATGTGCCTCTTCGGTTGCTGCAAGTTTTGATTGGTTAATTTCCAGAAATCCCCCAAAAGCTGATTCTAGCAGTGTTTAGAAAATAAAATGGAAGGAAGTCATTTTGGAATTCCTTATTTTGCCATTTTCACCGAGGTCCCTCTGTGCCATGTCTCCTGGTGGGAAGGAATGTGGAGGGAAAGAGATGGTTGCCTTCTAAGACAGAGATAAAACCTGAAAGGAGAATGGCTTATACTAAGAGCATAGTAACCACCATGGTGCAAGGGACGGGGCTCATTTTTTTTTTTTAACGTACTTTAAGTCAATCCTTATAGCAATACTGTGAGGAAGACATCACTACCCACTTTCTACAGAGTAGAAAACTGAGGGTGGAGAAGTTAAATTTCTCTCTCAAGGTTATAAGGCCAATAATTGGTAGGTTATAAGGCCAATCATTTTGACCCCAGGTTTTGATCCCAAAGTCTGTGCTTCTAACTTCTAGGGTATAATCATATAGACAGAGCTACCAAATGCCTCAGAAGCCTATGAGAACTATATCAAAAGAAGTGCAGATAGAGACAAACTCTTCTACCTCAGGACGTCTGACCCAGTGCTGGGTTACGTGATTTGACTAAGATTTGATTGGGTCACTAGAAAACTATTATATTTCCATCTTGGAAAAAAAAAACACTGGAACTTAATTGGGCTCTCTATGACTTATTTTTTAGGCTAGAATGGTTATTTCTTTAGTTACGGATCATGTGAGTTGAAGTTCAAACTACGTTAGGCTCTTTGCAGGGGCCTGGGATGTGGTCAAGGCTGAATCCACGTGGTATAAAATGGATGGCATTCATCTAATACGTCATAGCAGTTTATCATGCTCTGAAAACATGAGATAATCTCTTTTTCAACCAGTAATGACAGGGGGACTAGGCAAGATTCTGAGTATACAATGATGAATAAGAATAAGACATGGGTTGTGCCCAAGATCATATGACAGAATGCCGAAAGTTGGTATATATGTGTGTGAGATGGCGGGTGGGGAAGATGGTTTTGTGGAGAGGACAGCATGTCAGAGAGGTGGGCAGGTCATGGATGGACCTGAGTGGGTAGAGAAGGGGAGAGATCAGTGGACTTGTTTGTACACAGGATCTAATACATCGGTGGCATCTGATTCACTTTTTCAGTGTCATTACCAGTCATAGGGTAATTCTATTTCTCAGACTTTGCTAGTTCACATATTTGGAGTCAAATTTATACCCAGTGATTTTAGGGGAACACAACCCCCCTCTCCCCTGTGATTTCTATCCAGGTCTTGTATGCTCTTCTTTTATTTGCTGGCCATCTCAAAAGAGCACTCATGTATTTCAACTTTCCTCTGTTCAGTTTTCCTTAAGAATTTTTCTACTGAAAGAATGGAAAACCAGTCATTGAAGATCAAAATGAAAATGTTTGAAGTTGAGAAGGATGTACAAATGCGCATTACACAATTGATGTGTGTATGGATTGCGATAACAGTTGTATGAGCCCCTAATAAAATGTTTTAAATAAATAAATAAATAAAAATTTAAAAAATAGAAAATGTTTGAAGGCCAGGTTTTTGCTTAGCAAAACTAGGTAACCAGGTTTATTTCTGATTTACCTGATATTCCTGTGTTTAATAAATAAAATTTTTCAATAATTCCCATCATAACTTTCGTAGAAACAAACAGCTAGGAATCAAATCACAAAAGAAAAAGCATGCTGACATATATCCTAGACACACACCGTGACGTAAACCCTTTTGCTTTACTACCTTGTACCACCATGGTCCAGAAGCGTAACTGGGGGACTGAGAGAGCTGGGATAGTCAGGCATCTCGAAGACTGATGGCGTATCTCCAGAATTCTCCCACCGAGGCAAACACCGCGTCAGTTGCCACCATTGCTCCCCAGTCCGACGCCAAACCCCCCAAACAACACACACCCCCGAGCAGTTTCCCGGGAGACCCCTCCACAGCGTGTCGCTCTGTTTCCTTGCCTTCCAGGGAGGTGCTCCACGTGTCTCTCCACTTCCTGCGGGTCATCAGCGCCTGTGCGGACGGCAAGATCCGAATTTACAATTTCTTGAACGGCAACTGCCTGAAGGTGATGAAGACTAACGGCAGAGGTGACCCTGTGCTGTCCTTCTTTATTGAGGGAAACAGGTGGGTGGTAGTTTGGCGGTCAGACCCGTGGGCAATTATGTCCTGGTTGATATTTGCTGCAATGTTTCCTCCTCTGGAATACCAGCTGCAGATCTGCCCGGAGTGGGTAGGAAAGAATGGGCAGGGTTCCCCTCTGATTAGGGTTTCTGGGAAGGAACAATGATAAGGTGGACTAATTGGATGGGTGCGTTTTGACTCCTAAATTGTTCTGGGTGTTTGGCCAAATCATGGACTTATCAGTGGGGAGGAGAAAGGCATAACTGGGACACGTGGTTTGCTGGCTGCCTGGATTAACGTGCGGACCTGCTCAACAAAAGGTTGAAATTCACCCAGAGGCGCCTTGGCAGAAAGGTCAAGTGATCTTCTTATGAAAATCCAGCTACTGAAACCCTTGTGAAGGCCATTTCCTCCAGGACACATAAGGGCTGCCAGGAATCAGAGTCCACCTGATGACATGATTTTTGATGGTCCCGCCCATGCGTGGTCCTTGCTTACTCCCAAGCATGTACTCGCTTGCCTGAGACCACCAGCCGCTCTTGTCTCTGTCCCACTTCTGAGACAGAGACTTCAGAGAAGGTGGGGGATTGGTGGTGACAAGGTGGGAGAGCACTGGGCAAATGAGTTCAGAAACCAGTGCCTACTAGGACTGAAATCATGATATGTTGCTCTGTGCTGCTTATATGCTAGTGTCAGGGTGATGTATGTAAAAATAATCTTGAAAAATTCACCTGAAAATACCACCCCAGACTCGCTTGAAATACTGCTTCATGTCCCAGAACTATTTTGCTGTTCTTTAAATTAAAACAATTTACCACGTGAAGGGGGACCAGGGGAGGTACCAAGAGTCAACGGACTCACTATGGCCTTTGATTCTCCACAGCACCCAAAGGAGGGATGATTTCCTTTTGACATGGGTGCAAATAAAGTCTGAAGAGAATGTTTCACTAGAAGGATCCCTTAACCTTTCTAACCCAAACGCTTCCATGCAAAGATCGAAGTCTTAAAATTGTACGTTTGGTAGCAGAAAGCAACTCATATGTATTATTCCTAGTCCTTATTTATAGCTCCACAGGCACCCTTCATGTGATTGCAGTGGCCTAGACCCGGATCCACAGTAACTCGGCAGTCAGCCTACAGTAGACGTGGGCACAGAGGAGAGTGTCACTGGCCTTGTGGGTGGGTGGTGGGAAGCAGCACTGGGCAGCCACATTTGGAGGCCCGTTTTCTACTAGGTCATAAAATCAGGTTTGAGGGAAGATAGAAATAATCCTGTTTTATGTAAAGTACCCACCACGTGCCTGTCAGCTTGTACTGTGGTGGCTTGTGTGTTGCTGTGATGCTGGAAGCTACGTCACTGGTACTTCCAATGCCAGCAGGGTCACCCACAGTGAATGGGGTTCAGTGGAGCTTCCTGACTAAGAAGGAAGAGTTCATTGCCCATTTTGGAGGAAGGGGCCGTTAGAAACCTTCTGCATTGCTTCGAAATGTTATCTGAGGGCCTAATGAGTGGAAGCAGAGCATTGTCAGAGAGAGTGCTGGGTGATGGGCCCCACAGGTCAGAGGACACTCGACATGTGACTAAGGAAGAGCTATTTTCTCAAGCATAGAGGCGACCACGGTGGGTGTCGTGAATAGAGTAAAGCCCATGGGAGTAAAACCTGCACAGTCTGCATATGTTGATAGGGAACAGCTCAAGGCAAGAGGAAAGGCTGTAAAAAAACTGCTAGTGATCAGATCTTGGAAGGTGTGAAGGATGAATCTCACAAAATTGGAAGTCAACCAAAATGAAATGGAATGCCTAAAGATTGATATCCTAGGCATTAGTAAGTTGAGATGGACCGGTATTAACCTTTTTTTTTGGGGGGGGG